GATTCAGTTTACGCCATATTTGCTCATGCTTTGGTACTTAGAGGAGGTAACCTACCCACACACAGGCAGACACATAAAAAGCTCCGGATTGCCCGGGGCCTTAGGGAGACAGAAGGAAAGTCAGGCTCAGCGTTGGCTGGCTGCTGGGGCCCATGTTAAGGCTTAGTTCAGTTTACATTGGCTGTAATTACAACCACATGAGGAGGGCGCTGCTTTAGATGAGTCTAATCTAACTTTTGTCCACAGGAAATTTGACTTCAAATTTTCAACAAATGCCATGATGTGGCCCTCGCTTGACCTTTGTCCCCTGCAGTGAGGACATATACCTGGATTCTGGCAAGACGTTCAAAGCTTAAGGCAAGAGATGCCTTAACACTTGGATTTTTGTTTCTACAATTAAAATTCATGAAAGCGTCACTTAACTTTGTTTGCAATGAGAGTCATCAATTTTCTTGTACAGATTTTAAAGCAATGCATTAAAAAATCTTGAGTTTTCCAGATTTTTCTGGAGGTCTTTGGCTCATTTTCACTACAAGAAAGAAAACAAAGAAGAACTTCGGAAAACATTGAGAACTGCGAACTGAAGATCAGGTTCACAGGTTTTCAAAACAAATTGGTAAGATGGAAACAAAGTAAAGAGAAAATAGATTTGCACATGTAGGGTTAAACTACAAAACAATTAATGAATAATCAGCAGAATTAAAAACTAGAACAAAGCCTGCAACTTGATAGTTCCGCAGTTGTGAGCGTGCAGGTTTTGAAAGTGTATCCCAATTACAGAGCAATGCGTCACAATAACAACATTTAGTAACTAACAACTCACCCAGAGCTTTCAAAAGCTCCTCGAAGTTTTCCGACGTCTTCATTTTCCATTTTCCAGAGAAATCTGTCACTTTGTTCTCCATTTCGGTGCAGATTAGGGCCGCAGTCTGATCGTCAGCACTCCGCTCCGTTGTGCGTCCGTTCCGAAAAAGCGTCTCCTCCGCTTGCAGCTGCGCCTCCATTCATTGGCCCCCGAATCTGATGCTGACCCAGCCAATGCAGAGGCCGGCGGTGGGGAGGGACTTTCCCCCCCCCCAAAAAAATCCTCCAGAGCCCATCTACACCCTCCACCTCTTGCAGCGTGGTGAAAGATTTGGATACGAGTTGGAAAAATGCGCTTCCAGTAAGAGCTTTGATGCTGATTAAGAGCTGGGACATGCGTTAATTGCTTTGTTTCTTTTATTGGGTGGATGGCGCAAAGCCAACAGCCGTGTTCACGCAAGGCACCAACGAGAAGCTCCACATTTAGACGTTACTCGTGAAAGGAGAAAATTGACAGTTCAACGTTGAAGAGCTGGAAAGTGAAATCAGATCCGGTGTGAAGGTTTTGTTCTGCAGGCTGGGAGGTGGGAAAGTTGGAAGAGCAAACGATAAGATGTCCAGCAGGTGGCGTCACTGCAACAGGAGATAGATCAGATGGATCAAACTTTTTTTTTTAATCACATGGGCCAAAACTGTTGGTTCAGAAGTACTTACTGGCCAAGAAAATAATACTAAAAATAACCTTTTTATGTTATTGATTGTAGATTTTAAAAAAATAATAATAGAAATATTTCGTATTCAAAGAAAAGCATCTAGTTTTCACTTTGTTTTTGGCTTGACTGAACCAATTTATTCTACGTATTAGAAATAGATTTTGATCATTTTCTTTTAAAATGTGACCTAATTTAGCCAATAATTAGCCAAGTTTAATAATTCAGATAAAAACTGATTTGGCTGCAGTTAAAGTCGGCTTTTCTGTAAAAGTCTCTGGATAAACATGTTTCACTTACAAGTTGCTTGATTATAAAAAGACAAATATTTGTGTTGTTTTTAGCGTTTTCCCTTATTTCAAAACATATGTCAATAATAATTTTACTCTTGTCCTGTCCAATATTACACACACATTTGACATCTGCAAATAAAAAGTCTCCATTTCCATCAAGTCCTCAAATTGGACAGGACGATTCTTGAATTGAGGGACTGCACAAATTCAGTCAAAGGGCTACAAATGGTACCTTATGCAGTTCACTGGTTCCCAAAGCTGGGGTCAGGAGGTCATTTTTGACCGTAAAACATCAACTGAGGCTCTAAGATATCATAAATTAGCCAAAAGTGTCCATATGGTCTCCATATGAAAATGGGCTGGAAATTGACCAAAGATGGAAGTGTCTGTATGACTTGAACAATGGTCCAATGTTTATTGCTAAAACTTGTTTGATGCAGGATAACTCTTAGAAACACACACATTTGACATTTGGTAAATCTAGTTATTCTTTCTAAGCATCTTCAGTCTCAAATAGAGTTTCAAGTAGCAAATGAATTTCAGTTTCTTGTTTGTTTTTGTTTTTTTTACAATTATAGTGAGCATTTTGAAACATGACTGTTGCAGAACTACCACTATTTGTTCTATTCTGTGAAATGCAAATCTAAAAAATATTAGAGAAAAATTTATGGAGATATTTTTTGTGCAGCCCTGCAACTGTGAAGTTGAAATCAAAAATAAAAAATCCTACTGGATTTTTTTTTCAGTCTTTCTCAGATACAAAACAACAGTTACACCTCTTGAAATTATAAAGTACAAGTACACAAATTGTACTTTTGAAGTTATTAAAAAATATCTTACTCCTACAGTTTTGCACAAACATTTTGCAAAGCAGACGATTAGGCTGAAGTTCGTCGAACTCTTTGTTTTAATTACCTAAAACCTTTAATCTAATTTATTGAATGTAATAAACTATCACTCTCATTGATTTATCAATAAATACATTTATTGATAAAACAATAAATGTATTTTCATAGTTGCAGGAATCAACACAAACAGAAACAATCATTAAATTACTAAAAAGGTGAATTAGAAAACAATGAGTGGTAGCTTTTGACAATTGCACAGTAATGTGCATCAGAGGTTTTTTTAACATGTGCTTTAGGGTCTACAAAGGCTTCACATTTCAAAGGGGTTTTAATGTTGCCCAGGAGGCAAACACTTCACAGCCAACAGTTGTACACACACTCAATAAAAACAAGAGTTACTTACCAGAAACAAGAGCAGCTGCTGTTGTTTGCCTTCATCTTAACTGTCCCTCCTTACATCATTTAAATGGATACAGAGACAACTTTCTCTCCTCCAAGTCCTGCTGTTATCCACATAGTCACACATCACACTAGAAACATTTGGAAAAGTGTATTTTGTCATTTGAAATTTGATCAGTTATGATGAGGCTAGCTGGCTTTCATTCACCAATAAAGTTATGAGCAGTTCTAAAATATCAGTGCAAAAATACTTCAGGTGTCTGCTAAAAAGCTGAAAGTGAGATATGTTGTTTTTCAGTGTCACAGTGTGTCCAAACACCATCAAAAGAATAACTTGATGAGAAAAATATTAAGTGACCAGCTTGAATCCAGAACAAAACCTAAAAGAATATCAGGCGTTTCCTGAAAATGCTGTGTACAGCAGAAGCTCTTATATGATAGATTTTGAGAAAGTTTTCAAAAGTTTAAGAAAAATATTCAACAATTTTCACTTGCGAAAGAAGATTGAATTTTGAAATTAAATCAAACGATGTTCCAACAAGGTAATAAAAATATCTACTTTATTTTCTCTCTTCTTATTTGATTATTGCTTGAAGTGTACACGATAAATGCTGGAAAAAGGTTTTTAAAAAATGTATGATGATCTCGATTTCTTGATTTTAGAAACTTTTGAGAGCCATTCAAATATATACATATGTATTGTGTAAAGAAGAATTTCTCATAAAATAAAAAAAATATGTACAACCCTGAGCATCATGTTCATAAGACTGCTTTACAAAAACAAAGTGTCCTCAGTCTAGACTTTACATTGGTGTCAAATGTCTCATTAGCTGGTTTGTCTCTTTGTGTTATTAAAAGTATACCTATTAAAAATTAGGTAAATTAAAGGCTTCAAATCTTGACTTCCTCCTCTGTTAACTACAGATTTAGTCCCACTCTGAACACATTACTTAGATCTGTTCTGATTAGGACCTTGTTATTATATCCTGATCACTATGGGAAGCACAGATTTGGCCAGATTTGTTGTCATAGAAGTGCTCCAGTGTCCAGTGTTGGTGTGTCATCAAGCCCACTATCCCCATCCTCCTCTAAACTCAAAGCTGCCACTGTTTTATTTTTATCTGAGTCCCAGTTTAGGTAAAGATGCCATGTTTATTCAATTTGGTGAGTGTTTTATGTGTTTGTTTTTTTATTTATTGTTTTTTTTTAGAAACTCAGCATTTGAGAATAGTTTCAACCTTGCTGCAACTCAAACAGGATTATACTGCATCTCCATGTTGCTGCCTCTTGGAGAGAAGCTTACCCAACCTGAATAGAAAATATCACGAGTCCTTTTGTGAGGTGAATGGTGTGCCTCATGTTTCCACAGGAGTCCCATTTGATCCAGACCTGGTGAAACAGTCCTGGCAGAGAGTGTGAGAGAAAAAGAATCACAAGCAGATTCTGTCATCAATGTATGCATCACTTGTATGGGTGAAATAAAATACAGTTTACTGGCAGTGTGTCTGAAAATACGGATAAACATATTCCACGGGAAAAAATGGCTTAATCTAATCGTGATGCTTTTTACTATGGTAACAACATCATTCAAAACTCTGTCAGTCATTCTACCTTGTATGAGCTCACAGTAATCTTCAACACATACATACATACGTATATACACATTACTATATTTTCTGAACATCTATGTTGACATTTTAGACTGAAAAAAATGGTCTGAATAGATTCAAAAGCACAAACTTTACAAATTATATATTTTTTCAAAAATATTGAGTAATTGCAAGAATATTGTGTAAAACAGAAGTAACTAGGCACATAATACTAGAATTGTGAGTTTTAATGTCAATATCACTCAAACAGGGAGGTTCTTTGAGTCACGCGCCACCTAGCGATTGTTTAACCCCAGACTCTTGGATCCGGAACCTTTCCCAGTTAGTCGTTGCACTCCGGAAACAAATTAATGACGCTCCTCACTCATCATGGCGCGGCACCTTCGCTTCGTAGCTCGGACGGTGATGGTCCCAGATGGCAATGTCGATTCCGCGTACAAGACCTTGAACAGGTTAAATTCAAATAATTTCAGTATTATTTTAGCTGTCGTCATGGGAACACAACGCTAATGCTAGCCAGGTTAGCGCCAGCTAGCAGCTCAATGTCACAGAGTGCGACTGCGCAGGAGCGGCGACACATTTTGGGATTTCTTTCCGTTTTATTACACAAGTTCAATAAATCACGTTAAATGTTTTTGACAAGGGCTTTGAAATGTGTCACAACCTGGTTTCCAACAATCCTCTAATTTATAGGGACCAACTATTTATGGAGTATTGTTAATGAACAAAGAGGACAGCAGGAAGTTCTTCAAACGAGAGAAGAAAATAAAAGCACACACGCACAAATCTAATGAGCTTATGTCGTTGGGCTGTTGTTAATTATGCTGTCGAGACATTTGATTAAAAATAATAAAAATTGGGTTGTAAGTGGAGTTAAGCTAAACATTTGTCATTCACACAACGCGCATCAAATTTAACTGCAATAAAACAAAAATAGTGAAGTATATTAAATACGATTATTTAAATTGAAGTTATTCCTTCATCCTTATTCTCTCAGATGTTTAGAATGGCTATTACAAAGATGAAAGCCACAGTAAGAACATTATGCAACACTGTGGACTTTTGTTTTAATTTTGCTGTAGGTATTATTTCAAGGAAAAAAGGGTTTGGATGGATTTTACAATAAGATCAGATCTGATTTTTGTGATTATTGGGAGCAATATTGATCTCAAATGTCTGTTGCACCTTAAATTATTAAAATAATTTATAAATGCTAAGACATTTACATTTTGTGGTAGTTTTGCCAGGATTTTCATGAAGACCAGTAATCTATTCTGCATGTAACAAAAGCTTATTTGAAAGGGAAAACAGGCTTACACACATAACAGATTCTCAACCATTGTACCTGTTTCCAAAATGTCTGAGTAAGTATAGTGTAAATTAAAATGTTTAAGTTAGATTTATTTGAAAGAGATTGTTGCATGGCGGACAATTGAGCTACTTGGGATTGTTGTGAAATACAGAAACTGTAAACTGACGGTATGCCTTTCCAGTGCTCCTTTCTTTGATTTTAGTGTTTCCTCACTTTGCTGTCGCACCTTTTTTTTCTCGACATTCCCCAGAATCCTAACCCAGGATGGGATCGTCGACGCAGTGAAGCGCAGACGCTACTTCGAGAAGCCCTGCCGAGAGCGACAGCGGAAAAACTTTGAGAACTGCAAGCGCATTTACCACATGGAAATGGCACGAAAGATTGCGTTTATCTCCAGGACAAACAGAGAGGATCCCTGGCTCGGTTGCTAAGGAGATTGAACGTGTTGAAAAAGGACATTCAAACATCCGAGGGTGACAGGAGAATCGCTACACAAACACAAGCTATGAGTTACATCTGACAGGAAAGGTCAAAAGTAAATTTCTGCAACTTTCTTGTTTCATCCAAGCTGTGAAATATGAGCATTTATCCACACTCAGTAATCTCTGGTGTTACCAGGTTGTGGTGGTTTTCTCCCCTGCAGCCAGAGGAAGACCACCAAGATGTGATACTATCTCATCTCCTTTCATTTTGTTCATCTGTCATCTAAAGTTGTATTTAATAAAATAACTCTCTGAGATCTCTTGGCACTTGTTTTTTTTTAAAGAATTTATGTCAATTATAAAAAATTTAAGTTTATAATTTTTAGTTATTGGTGAAACCAAACAAAAAAGAGCCTTGTTGATTACATTTATGTTCTCAGACCAGTCACTTAAAGTTTTGTTCAAGTTTAATTTTCCAGTTTTCTCAAAATAGGTACTTTGAGATTTGCCATTTTTTCGGCATAAAAAACATCCGTCTCTGAAAGAACAGTTTCAACTCCTCATCTCCAATAAATTCAGTAAGTATGGAAAACAAAATGTGCAATGGTCATTCATTAGGCTGTACTTGACAAAAAAAGTAATAAAAATTTCAGAAGAAGAAAGAAAACAGACATTTTCTCCTTAAAAAAATCTGATAATTGCACATTGTAAAACCTTATAATTGTCTTGTAACTTAAGCAGTCTGTAGGAATGTATAATGGTTTTCTTAAATGTACATAGACTTTTAACATGTTTTGTTAAAGACAAAGAAATACTGATTGTGAGCTGTGCACTCTGTGCACTGAGGTTCTGACTGCAGATGGAGCCTTTGTTACTGGCCATCCTGTACTGCTTCCCTGGGATTTTATCAGCAGGTTGCTGTGACGTGTGTGTTTGCATAGTTGCAATATCTGCTGTGTCGTAATCAAAAAGAAAAGAAAAAATCCTGAACAAAGTGTCTCTGTGCAAATATCAAAACTCTTATCAAGCCTGTTGCAACAAGAAACCATAGAAAGGTACTCTGCTGATCTACACCTGACGCCTCTAATGTACAGTCTTACAGGAAACTCTAGTTCTCAGATCTTTCAGGGGACGCATATGATTGATTGCTTCTGTTTAAAATTTAAAGACGTTTGAACTTTCTCCTTCACACCCATAATTTTAGCAGCTGTGCCTTTTTCCTTTATTCTGCCACATTGCCTTTATACTTAACCGTTTCATAATTATCATCCTGATTAGAAGAATAATTCTTTGTTTTGTTTTTTTATCCTACATACTTTTCACATCCTTTCTTTTGAGTATCTCGTGCACCGAAGAAGTGATTCACTCCTCCAGTCTATGTGCCATTATGTAATTCTGCTGGACTTTATTTAGAGCCCCCTCGATGGAAACTTCAAATGGTCTGCAAAACTATGTATCCCAAGCTTGTGACATTTATTATCAGTAATGACAACTTCATACAAATAAAATCTTTACATGTGCATTGTTTGCATTGTCATATTTATGTTTATATTGTTTATATTGTACAAACATTTATAGCACGTCATTATTCTCTGTTTATATCTTGTACAACTGTTTGTAAATATTTATACCCAATATAGCACTTCTGGATAGATGCAAACTACGTTTCGTTGCTTGTACATGCAACAGTGCAATGACAATAAAGTTGAATTCTATTCTATTCTATTGTTTGTTTCACAAAACGATGTGAAAACATCCTCTTTCTCATACAGATTTCACTTCAGTGCGTCAGATAATACTGTTCAATATAAGACGAAGAAAAAAAAAACAAGCTTAAATGTGTGGAGGTAGTTGTTTTTCTGAAGGTTATGCAACAGATAGAAGCAGCAACTCCCCTCAAATACCTGCAACTACTAATAATGATCCTTTCATACCAGTGTGGGGGAATTTTGACTCCCTCTACTCTTGTAGAATTGTTTTAATTCAGTTAAATTGAAGAGTTTTTGGGCATGAACACTTATTTACAGGTCAGATCACGGCATCTCACATGGATTCAGGTCCAGACTTTGACCCGCTCCCAAAATAGTTACAAAAGGACTAAAACAGCAAAGGGCTAACAATGTTCAAGGGCCAAAACAAACTAATACAACAAAACAAGTTAACTTGGTTGTAACATGAACCCCAGATCTTAGGTTCAGAGTCAAACAAGTCATTAATAGCATATTTCTTTGCTTTTAAAGATTTAAAACGCCAAATGAGCATGTTCAAAAACACAAGAACAACGCAACAACTGCAAATAGAAACAGAAAGAATTGCTAATAAATTGTTCACACAAGAAACTTTCATTACATTTTCAAAATATTTTACAGTGAAGCTCACATTTATACTTGGGATTAATGAATGATTAAAGTTATAGTTGTACATGAGAAAAAAAAAAGTAAAATCATAGATATATAGCCTTTTTTTCACAAACTATTTAAGTCATGTTGCTGTCTTCAGTCAACATATTTCCACAATTGGCAAATTACTGGATAATGTGACTGGCTGATAAAAACAGATGAAAACACTGATTTAACGGAGTGTCTCTGAATAAATGCACTCTAAACGTGATCTGCTGTTTCTCTGATTCATTTGTTGCGTTGTATCCATTGGAAGAGGCCAAATGTGACCCTGTTATGAAAATTTTCAACAGTTGCCAGCAGCAGCCGCGTGCAGTTCCCCTTTTCAACAAGCCTCGACACTCACACGTGCGGCTCTCGGAAGTGAGGCGGTAACACCGCGTGTAAGGACAAACCCGAAACTGAGGACAGCGCCGATTGGTTGAGGTTTCCATCCAATGAGAGCGCTCTTGCTTCTCGTCCAATCGCAGCGCTTGTACCCTTCGGTGCACGTGCGGCGGCCGTTGAGCTTCTCGGCTCTGGTACGTTTTGTGCGGAGATATCATAGAGTGAGAGGAGGAAAAGCGACACACTGACGACTGGAAGAGCAGGGAGGAGCCGAAGCTGAACCGGAGAACAAGACGGGATTCACAGCTGAGTTTATTCACCGTTATCTCTGCGTTCAAGTTCCCTCCGCTTGCGGGGAACAGTTTTTCAAAGAATAGTTTGCAAAGTCCGTTTCTGGATTCTTCAAGCAAAAAGGTAAGAACTATTTTCGCTCTACGTCTTTGTATGTCTGAATATTTGACGTGCACAGGTATATATTTGGAGGTGGAGAAGCACTATAGGACAAACCGTCATATATTTAAACATTGGTGGTTCATTCTTAAAGGGGAAAAATGGGTTAAGCTGTTCTCTGTTAACTTGACTGGATTGGAAATGTGAGGAAACTCATTGACAGATGAGGACATTGGTTTTATAGGAGCAGAGAATAGTGTTGTATAAGAGTGTGCGTGTCTCAAATGATTGATTTCCAGGCTTGTGAACTTTTTAGGCACCCTCTTGTTACTCTTGTATAACAGTTCCCCCCCATTTAATACTTAGTACCGCAAAAATAATGTAGAATAACTAGAAAGAAAACAGTTTCTGACACAGCACCTACAAGATAAAAATACAGTTCTGAGGGGTTATCCTCCATCTTCAATGAAGAAATACATTTTCAGTTGAAATTTTATTCCATTATGAAAACTTGTTTCATTCTTCGTCCACTGACTGGCTGGGAAGGGTCTCTCCATTTTCCTTAAATGTAACCATACAAAGTCAGTCCCATATTTTTATGCATGTTTTTCCAAATGCCAGTTCCTCCACATGTTCAACACTGGTGATCACATTCCAGTTTGTGTTTTTGTGTGTGATAGGGTTAGTATTTGTATTGTACATGTGTGAAAAATCTTTGGTGTAGTTTTTTGTGAATTGTACATTTATTTTGGTAATCACAGAAACCAAGGTTTAGGTGTTGTCCATCCTCAATATGCAATCAGTCTCCCATTTTGACTTTTAACAAGTGTTTGTTCAACCTACTTTATTACTGAAAAGCTTTTACAATATTTATTTATCTTCTGCATATGTAATAACATTTATATGAGTTTTGTAGGTTTTTAGTTCTGATCCATTTATTGACCAGAGGGGAAAAAAGACCACTATTTTTAGTGTCAGACCTGCTGATTTCCGATCAGAAGTGATGATGGGAAAATGGGACAATTCCAATATTGGCTCGCATTACCAGACGATACTAATATCCAGTTGGCAAAAGACTTTGTGCTTCCAACTTTAGCCTATTAAATTTTCTTTAGCCATAGTGCATACAAAATTATGTACACTTATTTTTTACTCAACATTTGACAAAATCGGACCATGAATGGAGAAAATGTGCTACCTGTTCCCAACAGAAAATTTAGTACAATCAAAATTGACACAATGCATGAAAGTTGCATTATGTTTATAGCAGAACAGAAAGTATCTTTTATGTACCTTTACACTTATGTCTCTGGCACTTTATGAGTTTATTCACATGTGGTACAGGTGTTCTTTTTGCTGCGTCCCGGTGTAATAAACTGTCAATATCGAATAACTTATCTTATCTTCATTACGTTATGATTGCTCAAACACGAGCCAGACATTACTCACCAGGTCTTTACAACTACTGTACTGATATTGGTTTTAATATGCACATAGCAGTGTGGAAATGTGTGCCATTTTTTGACGAATATAGATTGATTAATTCGAAAACCCACCATTATGTGTTTATTTCTGAAATATAAACACATAAAAAGTGTAGGTGTGTTTCTGCTTTGTATATGTGGTAAAAATAGAATTTAGATTATGAGTTGTTTATCCAGCTAGTTGTGAACAAAAGCCTTATTTACATCTTAACAAGGATTTAGTGAACGTATTTCTTTTTGCCAACTTAGTGGTAGTTTCTTTATGACTACCACCTTATTGCCCCTTTATCTTCCAAAACTTCTTATGCTGCACTAAATAACAAGTGTCAGTGCTTAAATTACAAGCACAGAGATACTGAATTCATTGTGCTTAAATAATAAGTACCATTTACATCAGTTGTTTTCTTTTAGTGATATTGAAGTAATGGTATATTTGCAGTGCATAGTTCATCAATATTCTATAGTTTTAAAATTATATACAGGGTTTCCTCCAGAAAACTTGCTAAGCTCAATGTTAGAGGCGCTAGAGCAGTCATCCAGCAACCCATTGTGTTTTTCAGTTAAAAAATCTTTAAAGGTGACAGAAAATTTTACTAAGCATTACTAACAATACCTTAACACCAACTACAAAGTCTCAAAAACATAAAAAACCCCTAAGAGAAATAAATAAACAATGCATAGCCTGGAGGGAATGCAAGTAAAGCCTGGTGGCCCACC